TCTCTACATGCTGCCACTGGGAAACATTATTAAAAAGCATGGAATTAATTTCCACTGCTATGCAGATGACACACAGCTTTATCTGTCGATTGAAGCCTAATCAGACAGATCAGCTAGAAAAGCTCAGTGCCTGCATAAAGGACCTTAAAATGTGGATGACTCTTAACTTCCTACTTCTCAACCCGGAGAAGACAGAAGTGATCCTACTCGGTCCGAAGCGCCTGCGTGACTCCCTCACTAACCAGATGGTTACTCTCGATAATGTCAGTATAATACCCAGTAACACTGTGAGGAATCTTGGAGTCATTTTTGACCAAGAACTCTCCTTCAAGGCTTATATAAGCCAAGCAACTAAAACGGCGTACTTCCACTTACGGAACATCGCTAAAATTAGGAATTTCCTTCCTAAAAGTGACGCGGAAAAACTCATTCACGCGTTTGTCACCTCAAGGCTTGACTACTGTAACGCTTTACTGGCAGCGTGCCCTAAAGCCTCTTTGAAGAGCTTCCAGCTCGTTCAGAATACAGCAGCTAGGATCTTAACAGGTACCAAAAGGAGGGAGCACATAACTCCGGTGTTAAAATCACTCCACTGGCTCCCTGTGGAGTACAGAATAAAGTTTAAAATCCTACTCTTAACATATAAAGCCATAAATGGCTTGGCTCCTTCTTATCTCCAAGACACGTTAGTGTCGTATCAACCAAGTCGAGCGTTGCGCTCACAAAACGCCAGACGTCTGGTGGTCCCTAAGGTCTCAAAGGTCACTGTTGGTGGCAGAGCATTTAGCTACCAAGCTCCTTTACTGTGGAATCAGCTTCCCATTTATGTTAAGGAAGCAGATACGGTCTCCACATTCAAGGCCAGGCTTAAAGCACTTTACTTTAATTTAGCATATAATTAGGTAATATATAATATGTAGTGTATATATTATATATATATGCTGTATTATGTTATATATTATGTTATATATTATTCAATAATGTATTGTGTTATGTTGTATATTATGTTATATATTATGCTGTATGTTATTCTTTATTCAAGGCTAGGTTTAAAACAGTCCTCTTTAGTTTAGCATATGGCTAGGAAGGTAAGACTCGGAGAAGGTTAAACTCCTCAGAGTGTTAGTCAAGCTGCATAGGGAGTCAGTTTGCTGGGAGAAGTATGGTAACTTGAGCACTATCCTCTCCTCCTTCCTACTTTATCTGTTTAGCATTTTTAGGATTCTGACTGTAGTTTGTTCATTGCTATTCACCCGTTGTCCCATTGTCTGTTTCATGGTACGATGACGGGATCTCTGAGCCTGGCCTCTTCCATCTACACCTGCGGACTGCCCCGCCCGACCCGCCTGGGAGTGCTTCGGTCCTGCACCGGACCTGTCCACGTTCAGCGTCCACTGGTCCACGTTCTGTAGCTAGCTTAGGTCCTAGATCATTAGTCTGTCCGTCCGGAGGAGCGGATCCCTTTCTCATATGGGTCTCCCTCCCTGTGGGTTTCCCTAGTTCTCCTCCAAGGTTTCTCACTTTTTCCCACTGGGTTTTTTAAGAGTTTTTCCTTGTCGATGCAGGAGGGTCTTGTTGGACAGTTAGTGTCCAACAGAAAGGATTGGTGATGATCAGGACACTTTAGCATTCTACAACATGTATGGACATTTTCTTCTGTGTGTGCTTTATATTCTTCATGTGTTTTAACTGTTGATTCTCTGACCTGTGTTGGTGATTTCAATGGTTTTGTTAAGTCCTCTGAGATGACTTCTGTTGTGACCTAGGGCTATACAAGAATAAATTGTATTGTATTGTATTGTATTGTATTGTAAAACACTCTTTGTTTGACGGCACGTACGACAGAATGATTGACAGTTAAGACCAATAGTCTTGATGATCGACCTGGAAGAAGAACACCTCCTATAAAACTTTAACATTATGAATATTTAATTCAATTTAAATCAATTTAATGTGAATCAGGTCCGAGAATCAAACCAGTGTGGGTGGGTCCCGGCTCCAAAAGGTCCCGGATCAAATGGGCTGAAATGCTGCAATCTCACTCGGGGCCTGCGGGGGTGTACCCGGAAACAGAATTACCCAATGCTTTTGAATGGCGTCTTCTTTCCTCTCAAAAAAGTCTCTATAGGATGGTCCAAAAGTGGCTCCTGGTCCAAAAGTGGCTCCTAGTCCAAAAGTGGCTCCTGGTTCAAAAGTGGCTCCTGGTCCAAAAGTGGCGTCTTGGTCCTCCACGTTCCAGATGTTGTCGATGTTGAGGTGAATATATATTTTTTGGACCAGTCTAGTTTCGCCGCTGTGGACTTCAGAATGCACCCGTTAAATGAATGGGGCTAGCGCCGGCTGACGCATGCGCAAATGTGTTTTTTCCCATTTTCTTGCCCCGCGGCTATTTTGAAAAAGCCCATAGAAGACAAAAGTGGAGGCAGATGAGTTTAAACGGTGGAGATATGCGTGACTACATCCGTTAATAATTAGTTAGTTATGTTTAGAAACACAAAAACTATGACAAAGATACAGCTAGGGGGTCTCCAAAAAGTTTTTCACAGACTGTTCCTGGAATTTTGGCCCATTCTTCCTGCAGACCTCTTCTCGTTGTTTGGCAACACGGACTCTCAACTCTTTCCAAAGAATTTCTTTGAGGTCGAGATCTGAAAAACCGGGCATATTTCTATACAAGCCTAGCCTGCGATAGTAAAACATTCGATAGTAAAGTAATCCGGTCTGGTTCTATCAAGAAATTGATGCCGGAGCGAGGGTAATGTTTAGCAAATGTAATCGCTGGAAAAAATTGTGGCGCGACTCCCCACGGGCTCCGTTAGCGGCAAAGGAGATGACTAGGCTAAATGCTACATGCTAACAACAGACTCGGGCTCATTACATAAGTCACGGTAAACTCAGATCCAATCGTTTCAGTCTGCAAAAGGAGTTGACCCCTCCCACCTGTAAACTGAGTCAATGGAGCAAATCCAGACCTTAGTACGAAATGTCATTTGTACTATGGCGTGGTACGACCAGGCTAATACAAGCCCTGTTAGCATAAGAGAGAGTTTCTTTGTTAGCCGTTAGGATTGGAAACTGGTCAGGTAATGTAATGTTTATTTATTTAGCGCGTTTTACAGACCAAGGTCACCCAAAGCGAGACGCCGAACACACTGGTGCATCAGAGCCCCAAACCAACAACCTGAAGTCAATCATTCATTCATTACATTCATACCCATTGTAAATATTGTTCGTGGTTGGGGAAACCGGAGCACCCGGAGTAGACCTAGGCACGGGGAGAACATGTAAACTCCACTCAGAAAGGCCCAGCTCTCAGCCACCGACTGAGGGAAGTTCTTATGTTGTCGTTAGCATAGAAACCGGGGAAGATCTTATGTATTCAGTCCATCTCAGAATCTTGGAATTTTCGTCTTCCCGCTCGGAAAAAATATAAATTCAAAGCCCACGTTTTTGCTGCCCTTTCTCACCCGATGTTTAGTGAGTTTCATGTATGTGATTGTACTTTAATCTGTGCTGTAAAAATACACCCCCCCCCCCCCACACCTCTCTTCTTCCCGGATGCCGTGTGTCGGAGGATATTCCGGGGTCGACGCTGCAGCTGTTGTGGATGCCGTGAGTCTTTTCCCTGTGTGGCTCCGGCAGCTGAAGCCGTCGTTTGTGATTACACTTATCATCGTCTTCCCAGAGCAGAGGGAGAGGGGGGGGGGGGGGGGGGGGGGGGTGCAGCGTGCTGTGGAAAAGCACTCCGCAAAATTGTGAAAATATAGATTATTTCATCCAGAGTGATGTCTGTGATGTACGACAAAGAGGTTCGCCGGGAAAGTGGCGTGTGCCGGAGGAGAAACACGCTGACACCTGTGGATCCGCTTCAGCAGCATTTCTACAGATGTTGTTTTTATTACACTTTTAGGCCGCTGTGCGCAATGCATTCTGGGAACCTGTTGATGTCGGTGCAGAAGGGTCGAAGGACAGTGATGGATTATCGTCATATTTTTCGTCATGAATATATTTTTGGGCACAAATAAAAGACGAGACGAAAAGTAGACCAAGGACAAAATCCAATCAGACGAAAGGGATCAATAAAAATGTTCCTTATTCATGCTAATGTCATAATCGACATCTTTCAGAAAATTAATAATCTTAAATTGGACTAAAACTAAAGTAAATTTGAGTCAAAAGACCAAAACTAAATTACAATTTAATGTCATAATTGATGCTGGTGCTGATGCACATCTGGACCGTGGTCATCGACCCCTATGGACCAAGTCCTCAGAGACGACTGCTGCTGTGATACAAACTGTTTTGATCTTAATAGAAAACATTGTCCTCTTTGAACTTTTACATCTGAAAAGGTGGATCTAAAGACGTGAGTCCAGAGACACGTTCTGTAACGGACTGAGATCATCCACTTGCACTTTTACTGTGTGCTTTTATTTTGTAGTGATTTTATCCAGTGCAAGTTTCTCATTTTACTTCCTGTTTTTAACTCCAACTGTTTTCACCTGGGACAGACTTGTTTCAACCATTGAGCATGGAGCGGTGGATGTTTTTATGGGCTGGGGAGACACCTGAGGAGAGAGCAGAGAGAAGAGCGAGCGAGAGGAAGCTAGAGTACGACGTGCATCACGGCAGTCGGGCTGAGTTACTCTGCCCCTGCGTGTAAGAAAGTTTTTAGTGCTCTAGCATGGTTAGCTGCTCACAGAGGTGAAGCCCAGTGTCTGGGAACATGTGACTACCGTGAGTCTGGTTTAGTGGTGGCCCACCAGCGACGAGGACCGGACATATTGCAGCATCTTGTGAGGCCAGAGGACGACACTCAACACGGCGGTCAGAGTGACTCTGCCTTGCACGTACGTCTCCCTCTGGCATTGCTGACATCGAATCTGCCGTTGAGGAGCCGTGACTGCCGGTAGTGCCCTTGTCTGTGCAGGTCCTTGGCTGGGAGCACGTCAAAGACTTTGTCACCGTGCCCGCCCCCGCTCGGATGTTCTGAGGACTTTTTTAAAAACCTGTTATCATTCGTCGTCTTTTTATTTTTGTAATAAATTATTAGGTTTTTTTTGTCTTCGGGTCGTTGCACTGCTTGCCTTATTTTAGAACCTTTTAACCCTTTTAATATCATATTCTATTATTTTTCTATTATTTCCAAAAGTAAAAACACAGCATAATCAAAAGTATAAAAACACGGCGTAACCAAGCTAGGAGTTAAGACAGAAACAAACATTTTGTAACAAAAGTGACACAGACGGAACAGGAAGTGAAGACGACACAGGTTTGAACAGACACAGCTAACGAGACACAGGAGAGACGAGAGGACATCGGAAAACAGGAAGAACTGATAAAGACACAAAACAAAACATGAAATACATTTAAGCCATGAGCAGTGATGGCAGTAGCAGTATCCTGAAGATAATATGAATTATGTTTTCAGATTCCTTCTTTGTAGTGAGAGGCAGATGAAGCCTCGGAACACACCGAGACTGAAGCCTCTGAGCTCCTACTCGCTTAAAACACTGACATCTAGTGGACAAACTCAATCATTGCAGTTTCTGAATACTTCAATGACTATTGTTCTATAAATATCTCTTTCATTCTATTTATTTATTTGTATCTAACGAATAATCGACCACTGAACTGGCATTAGTTTGTTTCATTGAAAGTAGCTCCTATTCTCTATATAAAGCTAATTTGACAAGATTTTGTAACTTTTTTTGCTTTTGTGAAGTGAAGCTGATTGTATTGTAGAGAAGCTTGTAGCTGAGCTCACTACACAAATCAAGCTCCCATCACTGACCATGACATAACACACTAATCTGTTTCAGAGGATCTATAGTAATTACACGGTTCCAGTTTTTGTTGTTTGAAACATTGTATCCATGCAGCTGAATCTAAATGCTACATTGCAAATTGACAGGAAAGAAAAAATCATCTGCTTTAATTCACAGCCTGCTTCTCATACAGCTCATGTTTACCACTGCCTCCAGCTCACAGGCCTCACACCAGCACACTGTGATGTCACAGCATTTTGTCCATCTCTAAAATGAAACATGTTGCTGGTTGTTAATGTGGAGGTAGTGAGCGAGTGGCAGAATCTCAGCTTTGCAAAGATAGAAATAGAAACACAAATAGATACATCGAAAGATAAATACTTTACTGATCCACTTTGGAGAAAGTAGCAACAGAAACACATTCATCCAAACAAACAAAACAATACAAATGAATTATTCAGAGCAAGTTAGTGTCGTATGAACCCTTCTGGGACTGAGACCAAGCCTCCTGCTGGGACTCTGAGGAGCACAGGGACTGGCCTCCTGCTGGGACTCTGAGGAGCACAGGGACTGGCCTCCTGCTGGGACTTTGAGGAGCACAGGGACTGGCCTCCTGCTGGGACTCTGAGGAGCACAGGGACTAGCCTCCTGCTGGACCCTAGTGTCGGGACTCAACATGTGGAGACAGCGTTTCAGATTCATGCAGCTAAAATTCGATTAAATTCGATTAATTATTTTTCCCTAAATCACAGCAGTAGATTCTCGGAGGACTTTACACAGATCAGAGAAACACATTAGGGTTGGACCAATGTCCATAAATGTTGATAAATGTGGTTGAATGTTGAGTGCCTGGAACAGTCTTCCTGAAAGTCTAACCCAGAAAATGCAAGACAGGCGTCTTCTCTAACAATGTTCAAATCCAGGTTGAAACAGTTCAGCTGCACATTCAACTGAAGGATTTTATCTGTATTCTTTTTCATGTACTGCATCTTGTTTTGCTAATGTAGTCATTATCTATTCTAATGCCTTGTACTGTGTTTATTTAGTGTTAGGCAGTTTAAAGGACTAGAGGAGGGTGTTTTTCTTCCGGGTGGATCTTCAAGACCATTGGTTCTCCTGCTTAGTCACTGTTTGAGACATATATTTTGGGTCTTTAAAAACATACTCACTGTACCTCCCAACTCCAACCTTAATCCACGGTTAGACCTTTCTTCAATACTATTTTGTGAAACTTTCCAATGGACAATATCGTGACAGGTTTCCATGGTAACAGTGCCGTAGCAACTGTTACCATGGTACAGATGATGCCACAACGTTCCGGAACACCAGGATTTATCTTATGAGGCTTTGAGCTGATGAACCCAGTATTCGGACTCATTGGAGGCGTTAAAGAGGCAATTTTTACAGCAGTAAAAGATAGCAGAAAGATATACATATATATACAGATCAGGCGTTAGGCAAAGACTTTATTAACCTAACAGCATGAACGGGAATATGAATCCGCATTTATGTGCGTGTAGTGCACGACTTGCAGATTTCCAAGAATGGGGGATTGAGCAGAACCTTCAAGAGCAGCTTAAAAGAGCTCAAGATGAACTAAAGGTTCGAGATGGACAGATACGGGCACTGCAGAAGGCCAATGATCAGGTCAAAGATCAGTTGGAGGCAGTGGAGATCAGTCGGAGCCGTTCTTTGGGTTTAGCCCGGGAGCAATTGGAGCAGTGGAAGAAAGCCCAACGGCAGAAACAGCTCCAGTTAACAACGAAATCTTGTCAGATTCCCCTGGATCAGCCAATACTACTGGAGACAGGGGGAGACAATGAACTGAAGGCTGGAGATGAACGGATCTGCGCACTGCAAAAGGAAGTAACTGACGTCAGAGATCAGTTACAGGCAGTGGAGACCAGTCGGAGGCGTTCTTTGGGTTTGGCTCGGGAGCGAGTGGAGCAGTGGAAGAAAGCCCAACAACAGAAGAAGCTCCAGTTGTCAGAAAAACCTTGTCAGATACCTCTGGATCAGCCAAAACTATTAGAGACAGAGGGGGACAATGAACTGAAGGCACTGCAGAAGGCCATGAATCAGGCCAGAGATCAGTTACAGGCAGTGGAGATCAGTCAAAGGCGTTCTTTGTGTTTGGCGCGGGAGCGATTGGAGCAGTGGAAGAAAGCCCAACAACAGAAGAAGCTCCAGGGAGCAGAGAAAGCTTGTCAGATACCTCTGGATCAGTCAGCACTATTAGAGACAGAGGGCAACATAGAACTAAAGGCCAGAGATGAACGTATCCAGAAGCTGCAGAAGGAAGTAGCTGAACTCAAAGATCAGTTACAGGCAGTGGAGACCAGTCGAAGGCGTTCTTTGGGTTTGGCGCAGGAGCGAGTGACGCAATGGAAGGAAACCCAACGACAGAAGAAGCTCCAGTTTGTCAGATACCTCTGGATCAGCCAAAACTATTAGAGACAGAGGGGGACAACGAACTAAAGGCCAGAGATGAAAGTATCCAGAAGCTGCAGAAGGCCATGGATCAGGTCAAAGATCAGTTGGAGGCAGTGGAGACCAGTCGGAGGCGTTCTTTGGGTTTGGCTCGTGAGCGAGTGGAGCAGTGGAAGAAAGCCCAACAACAGAAGAAGCTCCAGGGAGCAGAGAAAGCTTGTCAGATACCTCTGGATCAGTTAATACTACTAGAGACAGAGGGCGACAATGAACTGAAGGCTAGAGATGAACGGATCAGGGAACTACAAAAGGCCATGGATCAGGTCAAAGATCAGTTGGAGGCAGTGGAGACCAATAGGACCCTTTCTTTGCGTTTGGCCCGGGAGCGATTGAAGCAGTGGAAGAAAGCCCAACAACAGAAGAAGCTCCAGTTAGCAGAGAAAGCTCTTCAGATTCCTCTGGATCAGCCAAAACTAATAGAGACAGAGGGCGAGATACAACTGAATGCTGGAGATGAACAGATCCGGGCACTGCAAAAGGAAGTAACTGACGTCAGAGATCAGTTGGAGGCAGTGGAGACCAGTCAGAGGCGTTCTTTGGGTTTGGCGCGGGAGCGAGTGGCGCAGTGGAAGAAAGCCCAACGACAGAAGAAGCTCCAGGGAGCAGAGAAAGCTTGTCAGATACCTCTGGATCAGCCAAAACTATTAGAGACAGTGGGCAACATAGAACTAAAGGCCAGAAATGAACTTATCCAGAAGCTGCAGAAGGAAGTATCTGAAGCCAATGATCAGATACAGGCAGTGGAGACCAGTCAGAGGCGTTCTTTGTGCTTGGCGCGGGAGCGATTGGAGCAGTGGAAGAAAGCCCAACAACAGAAGCAAAGATTGGGCCAGCGGTACCACGAGACAGACATAGAGGGCGAGACAGACATAGAGGGCGAGATAGAGATAGAGACTGAGGTAGGGACAATAGTTAGCGCGTTTGAACATCAATGCGTAGACTATAGACAGGTGCTCAGGAGGCTCGGTGAGTACTTTATGAGGCTGGTCCAAATGAGTAGAGTTTCCATGTTCTCCCTGTGCCTGCCTAGGTTTCCTCCGGGTACACCAGTTTTCCCTTTCAGTAAAAACATGGACAATAGCTCCCCTCTCTGAGGAGCCAGGACTCTCCTGAAAAAGAGCATTCGAGCGTCCCATTTGCTGAGAGTGTCGGCAAATGGAGCCATGGGGGTTGCCAGGTTGGGTTTGGGTCGTCCACAATAAGCTTTAAGAAGATTTAAAGCAGCAGAATGTACTGGAGAGTTTGTTTGGCTGTTTGTGCTTCTGGAGCTTTGAGGTGGAAACACAAACACCTGCAGATATTGCTTTGCTGATTCTACACTAAATGGCCTCAACACAAGTCTGTGTCTCAGTCCAGACCGTGTTGTAGATCAGGGAGGTCCGGCTGGTTCAGAAGGAGGTGTGGCTGAGGTCTCAGTCCAACAGAGCAGGACCAGACTCCTCATGGCCCCGGGTCCAGGCTCGACCTGAGGACCTGAGGAAATGAGTGTAGTCTGGAGTGTTCCTGTTTGGTTGGAAGGAAAACCTCAGTGGGACCTGTGGAGAACCAGTCCGTCCTCCTGGTGTAGATCATTCAGGGCAAAGCCACAGCCTGAGTTTGCTCGTTTGACTTTGGATGTGTTCTGGCCTGTGAGCTGTAAGAAGGTTCAGATCCGTGTCGTGGATCTGAACTAGATATAAGACGTTAATTAGGTTTAAAACAGCGACGTAGATTTAGTAAGAGGTTATGAGGCGGTTTTTAGGATTAGACAAATGTTGACTGTTCTCATGCACTTGTGTTGGACTGAAGCAGATTCCAAATAAACAGAATGAATTACAATATCCACTCAGAATGTTTTTTCTTTTCCACTTTGCAGCTGTGGAGTTTGATCATGGACTTTTGATTACATTCTTAGTTGCTAACTTAGCTGTTAGTTGCTAAGGTATGTCCTAAGTGATCAAGCACCAGGAGGCAGCACATCTGGCTCTTGTGTTTCAAATGAAAATCGCAAAAAGTAATTAAGATGCTAATTACTGGTTTACTGCATGTTCTATTTAATTTGAACAAAAGACAAACCACTATTTCAGTCTTGCATTAAATTCAAAGATTGAGAATCAAAAACATCCATCGGTTTTAGTTCTTTAAATGTGGGTTTTATTTAGATATATTGGTTTCAGCAACTAACAGCTATGTTAGCTTTAGCTACGGCACATGAAGCACATAACATGTAATAAAGACTAATTTGGGTGCTTTGTTATGATAAAAATATGGAATAGACTTTCATATGATATTATAACATCATTATAAGTGTTTGTCATGTCCAATGGGGAAAGAAAACATGCTAAATGTTAGCTAATAAAAGATGACGCAAGATGTACCTCAGTCTCTCAATCATGCTTTGTTTCTGCTACGTAAAGTATCACACGTGGCAGCTTTGAAACAGTCAGAAAGACTGCAGCTTTGAAACAGTCGGAAAGACTGCAGCTTTGAAACAGTCGGAAAGACTGCAGCTTTGAAACAGTCAGAAAGACTGCAGCTTTGAAACAGTCAGAAAGACTGCAGCTTTGAAACAGTCAGAAAGACTGCAGCTTTGAAACAGTCGGAAAGACTGCAGCTTTGAAACAGTCGGAAAGACTGCAGCTTTGAAACAGTCAGAAAGACTGCAGCTTTGAAACAGTCAGAAAGACTGCAGCTTTGAAACAGTCAGAAAGACTGCAGCTTTGAAACAGTCAGAAAGACTGCAGCTTTGAAACAGTCAGAAAGACTGCAGCTTTGAAACAGTCGGAAAGACTGCCGCTTTGAAACAGTCGGAAAGACTGCAGCTTTGAAACAGTCGGAGGGACTGCTGGTCGCTGCAGGACCTGTACGCAGTGGCGGAGCCAGACTTAAACAGAGGGTGGCAATTGTTTTTTTAAGGGGTCCACATTTATACAATTCAGAAATTTTATTTCACACAAAAACTGGCTTAACGATACATTTTGATCTTAATCTTATCTTTATTCTTTACATCAAATGAACTGAGAGCACTCTTGGAGACTACAAAGTAAAAAAAGTGTATTTAAACAGTAGTCTGAACAAAAGAAGTGCAAAATGACATCATTCAAACATTGAATTACATTTTTCTTTTAACAAATTTAGCAAAATCCTGTGGTTCTGGTGTAAAGCAGCAAAGATGTTGACAAACTCTTCCATATTGAGCCCTGAGCCCTCCTTTACCCTACACTGAGGATACACTGAGGATACCAAGATGACTATCATCTGCCATGGTCGTTCTGGGATGGTTTTTAATACGTTTTAGGGCAGAGAAACTTCTTTCACAAGATGCAGTTCTGACAGGTATTAAAAAAGAGGTCTTTGCCTCAAAAGCTCATGAAAAACTTAAAAGGTTCCAAAAAGACAAGAAGTCCAACAGGGACTCTCTAAACCAGGGGAGCCCAAACTTTTTGCTTCCAAGGGCCAAAGTAAACATTTGCCAGTGGGCCGCGGGCCAAATACACCAATATTACGCATGAAACACAAAATAAATGTAGATTTGATCAAGTTCAATTAAATGTATTAATTATTGTCTATCAGTGCAAATCACAGCTGCATGAATGAAAACAACACAGTCTTAGTGAAGTGGAGACTCCAGGGAAATATGCAGGTTTGAGGAGACTACAGTACGGAAAGATTCCGGCCGGGTAATCAGGGTCCAGAGGAGGGAGATTTTCTGTCATGGCTTATTTACAGCTTAAAATCATATAAAAAAACCTCAAAAAAAGAACAGAAACATACATTTTCTATGTAAATAAACTGTTTTTTAAATGCTACTTGTAAACAAATAATGTGCCTGCTAGTAAATGAAAGTACTAATTTATATTAATTAATATACTCCCAAATTAAATAATCTATATTTTTAACCTGCTCATGTCAGTTAACTGTTGAAGACCTTTTTCTAAACAGTTTTGCATTACTATAGTACAGTGATTTATAATGTATGGGTTTATTGTACTAATGACATTTACTTTACAAAAGTAAAGTCTATTTTCATATATTTATTTTGAACAAAAGTTTTTAACTACATTTGAATCATATTACTTTATCTTAGCTTTTATCAAAAAGGGGAGACATCACTGATCAGTAGATCTGGTTTTAGCACACTTTTAAACAGAGCTGAAGTCCTATTAAAATGCATGGGCCTATTAAAATGCATTGCAGAATTCTCAATGCAGATTTTTGTCCGATTGCGGAAAAACCGGAAATCGCTGAAGTCCCAAAAGTAATAGCAATAATCTCCCAAACATGTGGAACGTTTTGATGTATAACTTGTGGAAATTGTTGAAAATGTGAAAGCTGTGAAACGTGTCAAAAAAAATGACGGAATAAAGAAATACAAAACCAATGGTTGACTGCGGAAGGTTCCGCAGTCAATCAATGAATGGAAAGTTGATTTTGGGTTGTGCTATTTTTCATATTTTTGGTGCCGGTCTAGTTTATTCATCCTTCTCTTGTTTGATTTTTCTGGATTATTGATTGACTGCGGAACCTTCCGCAGTCAACCATTGGTTTTGTATTTCTTTATTCCGTCATTTTTTTTGACACGTTTCACAGCTTTCACATTTTCAACAATTTCCACAAGTTATACATCAAAACGTTCCACATGTTTGGGAGATTATTGCTATTACTTTTGGGACTTCAGCGATTTCCGGTTTTTCCGCAATCGGACAAAAATCTGCATTGAGAATTCTGCAATGCATTTTAATAGGCTCATGCATTTTAATAGGACTTCAGCTCTTTCAGACATTTCTACAGTTTCAATGATTCAACAGTTTCAAGGATTCAACAGTTTCAAGGATTTCAGCAGTTTCAAGATTTCAAGAGTTTCAAGGACTTCAACAGTTTCAAGGACTTCAGCAGTTTCAAGGACTTCAGCAGTTTCAAGGACTTCAGCAGTTTCAAGGACTTCAGTGTAATCATGCAACCTAATAGGGATTTTTCCATGTAAACCAGTATAATGCAACTTAATAGGGATTTTTCCATGTAAACCAGTATAATGCAACTTAATAGGGTTTTTTCATGTAAACCAGTATAATGCAACTTAATAGGGGTTTTTTCCATGTAAACCAGTATAATGCAACTTAATAGGGGTTTTTACATGTAAACCAGTATAATGCAACTTAATAGGGTTTTTTCCATGTAAACCAGTATAATGCAACTTAATAGGGTTTTTTCCATGTAAACCAGTACAATGCAACTTAATAGGGATTTTTCCATGTAAACCAGTATAATGCAACTTAATGGGGATTTTTCCATGTAAACCAGTATAATGCAACTTAATGGGGATTTTTCCATGTAAACCAGTATTATGCAACTTAATAGGGATTTTTCCATGTAAACCAGTATAATGCAACTTAATATGGATTTTTCCATGTAAACCAGTATAATGCAACTTAATGGGGATTTTTCCATGTAAACCAGTATTATGCAACTTAATAGGGGTTTTTACATGTAAACCAGTATAATGGAACTTAATAGGGGTTTTTACATGTAAACCAGTATAATGCAACTTAATAGGGATTTTTACATGTAAACCAGTATAATGCAACTTAATAGGGATTTTTCCATGTAAACCAGTATAATGCAACTTAATAGGGTTTTTTACATGTAAACCAGTATAATGCAACTTAATAGGGATTTTTCCATGTAAACCAGTATAATGCAACTTAATAGGGTTTTTTACATGTAAACCAGTATAATGCAACTTAATAGGGGTTTTTACATGTAAACCAGTATAATGGAACTTAATAGGGGTTTTTACATGAAAACCAGTATAAAGGATAACAGTTTAAAGGATATCAGGAGCTTCAAATACTTCAGGAGTTTCAAAGATGTTTAAAGTATTTTAACAGTTTCAAGGATTTCAAGGATTTTTCAGCTAAATTCCACATTAGATCTGTTCCGCAGTCAATCGCAATGGCTTCAGCCATTGCAACGGTTTCTAGTTTTGTATTTTGTTGCATTACCATAAAAAAATGTAGCAAAAGAAATCAAATAGATTTTACACTTGCTTCTTTATGACGCTAAAGCTAGAGATTGTGTGTTGTTATAGAGTTACTGATCCTCATTCTCTCTAACTGATGATGCAACACTGACATTTCCCCGCTGTAGACCAATAAATAATTAATCTCTGACGTAATCCCCGCTGCATTCTTCCCCGTCTCCGTCTGTTTGTGTTTCAGGCTTTAACAACACCGTACGGTTCTGATTTCAGACGGCGTCCTGGTCGATACGCCGCACGCTGCCGTCAGACCCGCCGCACGTGTCGCATTCAAATGAGTCCTGACTGGAACCTTCGGCACATTGCTATTCCGGACCCGTGCCTTTGTTTCTGGGGGGATATGATTAACCGACGCGCTCACTTGTTTCAAATGTTAACCACTGCCATTGATCCACAGCTACCAGCCTCTGCCGGCCAATCAGAGGGTCCTTTAGCTCCAAGCTAGTAACACCCTATCCAGTTATTATAATACTGTAGATCCATGGTATCTTAGCTTCAGATTCCAGATTAATGTTGTTATGTCCCGTGGGAGATGTGTCCTGGACTCACAG